AGAGTTCACATCCCTCCACAGGAGGGTGCTTTATTTCCTACTTCTGCCTGTGGGAACTTGCTCACTGGCCTGGTTTATTTTCTGCACCATTGTGGAACCTGATCCTTCTGCACCAGGTGTAACGGACAGTTTTCTGAGTGAATGAGCACATTTGGCCCTACGGCAAGCACTAGAAAGGGCAGGAGACTGAGTATTTCTGCTTGGCAGGCCTCTCTATGGGAACCCTCACCTCTGCCTTCTGAACAGAAGCTGAGAGAGAATCCAGTTGTGCCTAGGCAATTGGGTGTGGCTGGGTGCCAATAAAACTTTATTGACATACACAGGCTGTTGGACATTGTGTGCTGACACTTGCTCTGGAGGACGTGAGAAAACATTGCCTTCCACATGTAAAAAGAACTTTAAGATTTCCTCCCCAGGTGCACACAGGCCAGGGCAAATTGGAGGACACATGGCTGACCTGGCCAAAGGTATGGTTTTACATGGAGTCAGGTACTGAGCGGTATATCCAACATTGTCACACTTAAAGCATACACAGGGTGCATACTCACACACATGCACATTCACAGACATCCATTAAATAAGTGGAATTTCCCTCTTTACAGAGGGAAGAACTGAGGCTCAGAGAGGTAATACATTGTTCAACATAACACAGCATTCACTTACAGGATCAAGTCCCATCTCATAGACCTGAGTTCAACTGGTCATCTCTAGCCCTCTCTCGGTCATCTGAGTGACTGAAGGCAGGTCCTCCCATCTTACACCCACAACCAGTCAATAAGATGTGCTTTTGGGGGGGCCTGGTGATAAACCTCCACATTAATGGGCAGCATTATCATCGTCATCACTATCGATGCGCTTGCATTTATGCCTCCTGTCCCAGAACTTTATGGAGCCTTTCCAATTCATTCTCATGGGAGGTGATTTTACTATCTGCCATCAGTTGCTGTGAAAATAGAATACTTCTGCTTAATAAGAGATAAACATTAGCCAATAAACAAGAATACACACAGGAGAGACATCCTTGTCACACATAGCTAAAGCCTGCACAGAGGTGGCCAGAGGCAGGTGGCGGATGGCTCCAGAGAGCACGTCTCAGGAGTCTAGGGAGTGCCCCCCAAAGGTGGCAATGAGGCAGGAAGGAGTCAGCCAAAGCCATTTAGCAGGTGAGGTTGGGAGGGAAGGTGTACCGCAAGACTGCGTGTGGGGTGATCCTCCTGTGGAACCAGCGGGGTGGCTGCTCTGCCCTGGGATCTGGGGATGCTGGCAAAGGTTGAGGTTGTCGGCATCTATCATCCTTTACTCAGGGTGCCTTGTAGGCCAGAGGGTTGACATTTGCCACTGTGCTGATTCTCTTGCAGCTAGACTGCTGGTTAGACCAACACATTCTCAAGGTTGGGAAGGCCAAAGTGGGATGAGACAGTTCTCTGCCCCACTCCCTTTGGGGCATTTCTGGTGTCCAGCAGCTCACAGGGGCATGCTTGGCTCTGGAAAGGCAGGGACAGTTGTACACTCCACTTTTTACAAAGGTGCTAAGGATCAGAACTCAGGTCCTCAAGTTTGTGCAGACTGAACCACTACCACCCTGCCCCTCAGTCCCAAAAGAGGTTCTTGATTAGGAGTTTAAAAACAGAAAAATAAAGAGAAACAAAAATGAGTCTGACTCCATCTTAGAAGTGCGTGCCTACAGCTCTGCCAGAAAGCAGATCCAGAGCCTGAGCTCAGGGAAGTCAGCCTGAGTTGGTGCCAAGCCAGTGCTCTCCAGAGAGGTGGGTGGAAAGGATTTTTCAAGCCTCTTGGCCTCCTGGTCCCAGGAACCTCAGGAGTTTGCTGAGCCTTGGAAGATCTGTGTATTGGGCCTCACCCAGAAATCCTGGCCAGACTGCAGTAAGGTGCCTTGGAGTGTGTCCCAAATCATGACACAGCAGGGGAGGAACAGAGAGAAGCAGGACATCCCCAAGGGGTGTGGCCTTTGCCAGAGCAAGGGCAGGCATCCAGGGAGAGGAGGGACGTAGGGGAGGAAGAGGAGGAAAAGTGAGGAAGTGGGGGAGCAGGAGAGGGCATCAGTGAAGCATGCATCAGTGAACCCATGCATCAGTGAACCCATGCATCAATGAACCCATGCATCCTGTGCATTTGTGCTTTCCATGGTGGCTCCAGCCTTGGTGTGTAACTGTCTGATCAAAGCTGACCTGTAAAGCTACTGTGTGGTTTGTTCAACCTATGTCACAAGAACAGCATGCTCCCTAGACAAGAGCCACGTGGATGCCTGAATCCTGTTATGCAGAAGCCACATCCAGTGGATCCCAGCAAAGCCCAGCAGAGCCTTGACCACCCGCAGACCCAGGGCCATTTCCAGTGCACTGCTCTGCGCTGTGGGACCTGGGGTCATGTGCCACTCAGCAGGGTGCCCAGGCACCTGGCTGAACAGCAGGTTTGTGTGGTCCTATCACACACACAGCTTCTTGGGTATCTGAGAACACTGAAAAACTGCCAAGTCCCCCCAAAACTGAAGCCCTGAGGTCACTGTTACTAATCTCCCCAAATCCCTCATTTCTTTTACAACTGCAATTAAGTCTTTTTTCTCCCCTTTTCTTTCCTTGTCATCACAGAGAAGAACCAAGGAGAAAAGGTTTCAGCTCCATTAATTTTTCAGGACACCATAAATTAAAGAGCAATTGCAACGCAGTCAATTTCTGCAGGAAAATAACTCGCCGTGATTGTGCTTTGGTCTAATTACATGGAAGGCTAAGTAGCACTATTAATACCCAGGAGTGCATGCTGCCCAAGGGAAAGCTAGGAGCAGACAGGCAACCACTGGCCAGGGACACACAGGACACCAGGCAACACGGGCCAGACCTTGACAAGGAAGCCAGGCTCTGAGGACAGCTGGGCTTATCCACTACCAATCTCCATGTGGAGCTCTCTGACCTGGTTGATCTCTGTCATCAGGAATTTGTCATCTATCCATCCATTCATCTAACCAACCACCATTCATTCATTCATTCATTCATTCATTCATTTGTCACCTCCCACCCATGCATCCATCTACCATACCACCCCTACATACATTACCTATGTAATCATCTGTTTACCCATTTGGCCCCATCCCTGAACCCATTCATGCCTCCTTTTATCCATGATCTGTTCATCCTTACATCCATCCATGAATAATCTATCTACCTATCCATCCATTCACAATCTACCCATGCATCCATCCCTCCATTCATCCATCCACCCTTCCATATATCCATTCATTATCTACCCATCCAATATATATTTTCAGTCAGGCACTTGAGGTTAAAATGATGAGCTCTTGGGGCTGGAGAGATGGCTCAAGCGGTTAAGAGCCCTGGCTGCTCTTGCAGAGGACCTGTGTTCCTTCCCAATACCCCATGGTGACTAACAGTCAGTTCCAGGGGATCTGATGCCCTCTTCTGGTATCTATGGGCAAGATACATGTGGTATACTTACTTACATGCAGGCAAAACACTCATATACATAAAATAAAATAAAAATAATTTAAATGATGAGTCATCCCAAGTGTGTGTGGACTACAAAGAGAGATCAAACAGTACCAGAATCATGCAACTGCATGTTACCACTAAGGACGGTTCAAAGGACCCTGGAAGAGTGTGGGAGATGAGCCCATGCTGGCAGGGTTTCAGGGTGCAGAGGGCTAACTGACAGATCTGGGCTGGCTCTCCCATCTGTCTCTGCCCTGGGAGCTGATGAGCGGTAGTCTCCACTGGCTGCCTCTCTCTGGCCTCTCACTGGGTACAGCCAAAGGAAGTAGGTGTGGAGACTGGAGGGCAGGAGGGAGAGGCTGGAGCTCTTCTTTCTCTTCCCCTGTGTTGCCATAGTGTGGCAGGGGCTGAATAACTATCATCAGGGCCAGGCCCCTTCCTGGGACCTTTCTCATGCTTGTCGCAATGCACTGTGGGAGGTTATTTTCTCACTCCAGATGGCTCCACTAGGATGCTTAGGAACAGCGACTGCATCCTCATGTGGCTGAGAGGGCTTTAAAGAGGTGCTTGTTAAGATGTGGGGAGCCATCTGGTAGGTCTGGGGTATAGTCACCTCTGTCCTCATGAAAAAGGGAACTGTGGAGGTTTCAGACATGTGCATCTGTGAACATACACATGTGTGCCATGCTCGACCATGTGTATACTCAGTAGGCACTATGAGGTTGGGCAGAGAGACTTGACCAGGCTGACCCAGAAGATGCAGTGATGTTATAAACCAAGGTACACGGCAGTCACCAGAACTGGGAAAGGCAGAGCTGATTCTCTGCAGACTCTCCACAGATACCTGGCTTCGGCCCAGGGACACTGATTTTACACCTCTGGCCTCTAGGCCTCTGTCATTTTAAATCTCTAAGTTGGGGGCTGGAGAGCTGGTTCAGTAGCTGAGGACTCTGTTGCTCCTGCAGAGGAGCTGGGTTTGGTTCCAGCACCCACATGGCAGATAAAAAAACACCAATAATGCCAGTTCCAAGGGATCCAGCGGTCTTTTCTGACCACGGATATTGCATGCACATGGTACACTTACATATATGCAGGCAAAACACACATACACATAGGAAACATAAATAAAAAATTTAAGTCTCTAAGTCTGTGGTCAATGGCCACCATGCATATAAGAAACCAACCATGGCCCCTCCACCTGGACCCTCTCCCAGCCCAAGGCAGAGGAGGAGAGGCAGAGGACTGGGACCCAGAATCATCTGGGCAGGAGGACTGCCCCCTATCTTACAGGCCTCTGTATGCCAGGGCCCCCCATGGCCACCTCCACTTACGGAAACTTACGGCCACCATATTGTGAGACTCCCCAGACTGACACATGGCTACATGTGGGTGTCAAGGACTTTGAGGTTCAAGCCTCTTAACCTCAGCAAGGCTCCGCTTACACCACGCTGGGGTTCTGAGTCCTTTCCCAATGGGAAAGGTGGTTTCAGTCCTGATGTCCGTCTGACTGGGTGGAGTGGTCCCACATTCTCTTACCTTGCTGTCCTCGGTGTAGGCCAGGACCTTGTCCTCCTCCTTGGGGTGGAAGAGGAGAGTCTCCACGAGGAAGGGGACAGGGTGTTTCTGGAAGGTGGCCCCCTCATCCATGCTGAGGAAGAGGCTCTGCTCCCGGTCGCCAAGCGAAGAGCTCACAAGGATGATCTGAAACACAGAGTATGAGACTGGAGCTGGGGTCACTGCTGGGGGTTGTGCCCCTCACTGTTGGCCCTCATCACTCAAGGTCTCTACCGTAAAGGAGAGCCGGCTCTGAAGCTGAGACAGGTGTGCACATCACCTATCACACCTGAACAAGGACTTCAGGGACCACCAATATCTTCGAGGAGACCAAACAGCACAGGAAGCGTGTGGGAAGCTGGAGATGGGAGTGGAGATGTCTGCCGGCAGGAGGGGGTGCTGACCCAGGGGGTGAGGACCTAGAGCTCTGAGGCAGGATGTTGGGCTGATGGGGGGTATACCACAAGATCAAGTTCTAGAAGATAAAGAGGCACCATAGCCACCTGATCAAGTCTCCTGAAAAGGTGTGCCCACCTCTTAGCCCTACACCTGAGAGAGTGACTGGAGTCCACGTCCTGCTCAGAACACTTCATATTGTATAAAACAGTGATTTTTAGGGCTGTGCCTGAAAAATCTCCATTTCTACAAGCAGCACTTGTCTCCATTTTGAGTACAAACAGAGTCAGGAGGACCGTCCCTTGGTGGGCATGTAAACAGGACCATCTGTCCAGCACCACCCACGAGGCACAGACTGATCAATGACCTATTCCTAAAATTGGAGAAAGGAGCCACACTATAAATTTATCAGAGTGATCTGGGACCATCTGGGCATATTAAAATCATATCGGGAAAACCAGGCCCAAGAGCTGATCAGACACACCAGGCTGAGGAGATGGCACAGCGCCCTCACCTGGACACCATAAAGTGGGCACCTAACGCTGATAGTGACCCGACACCCAAGATGTACAAATGAAGCTGAGAACGCGACTGTCCCAGGGGCTTTGGTTCAGCAGGGTCCCCGCCGTTGGCACGGCCTACTTGGATTGCCGTCCATCTGTCCTTCTGCCTGTTCATCTGTCTGAACCTGTCCTCCATGTCTAGTCGTCTGCCTGCTGGTCCTTCTCGGTCTGGTCATGCCCTTCGTTTCTATAGCCTCCACGGTTCCACAACTCAGTCCTGCAACTTGGCTTGACTGTGAGGCTCAACTCAACTCTGACCCCGTGCTTTAACTCGGCAGCAGTGCCCCCAGCGGGCTAAGTTATCATGTTCCCACAGTGACTCTCCTTCCACCTCATCAGACCCAGCTGGCCTCAAGCCGGGCCTTTTATAAACTCCCTGCAATAAACTCCTGGGGGTCCCATGTAGCTCTGAGATGAGCTCCATGAATGGGGTGTGGACGGCTCCCCCCGCCCCGTGACTTGCCTCATCGCTTCCCTTCAGCTCTTCTGCAGCCTCTGCAATCCTTTGTATCTATTCTGTAACCTACATGGGTACATACATACATACATACATACATACATACATTCATTCATGGGTATGTTTACTGTGTGATGTGTAATATGTGGTCTCAGAGTTAATATTAGTAGTTAAGAATAAAAGAATCAGAATTGGGGTTAGAGAGAAGGCTCAGTGGCTGAGAGCGCTCGGTCTTCCTGCAGAGTTCCTCATACCTGGTTCCCAGCACCCACATAGCAGCTCACGGCCAACTGTAACTCCAGTGCCAGGATAGCTGATGCCCTCTTTGCTTCTTGGACACCAGGCACACATGTCGTGAACATATATACACACTCGTACACATAAAATAAAAATAAATAAATCTAAAAAGGACAAAAGAAGCCGTGTTTGCCTTGGCCGGCGACCAAAGGAACTGGGGCTACTTGGCAAATTGCAGCCAACAAAATTGAAATAGCTTGTGAATTTGTTATTCAATAAATTCAGACAATGTGGAAAGATGTGCGTCTGTCTATGCTTCTGTCACAACAGTGACCTTACTCAGAAACACGGTTTTTGGTGATGCGGTGAGGGACCTTAGGATACGTCCACAAGAAGAGGGCACAGGGACACGGAAAGATGGTGACATGGGGTGCTGGCCACACAGTGGTGGAAGAGGCAGCGAGCAACAGCCTTTAGAACCCCAAGGAGTGGATTTCAGCAATTCCCTTCCTTGATGTCCAGCCTCTGCCCTAAGAAAACACCATGCACTGGCTCTGCTGGGGACAAGCCTCCAAGAGGCTCCGAGGAGTGGGTCATCACTAGGGAGGCTCTGGTGGCTTAGCTAGGTGGGGACTGCCACATTCCTCCCTGCCATGTACACACTATGCCTATCTGTGGAGCATCCAAGGGGACAGGAGGCCCACAGGCTGGAGTAGCACCCTGGGGGGTCCCATGTAGCTCTGAAATGAGCTCCACAAATGGGGTGGTGGATGCCCCCTCCTCGCCCCCGTGCCTTGCCTTGTGGCTTCCTGGGGGAAGCCCCCACAGCACCAGTTTTGTGGTGCCAGGCACCCTGAGGGAACCCACTGTCCTGCTGTGAGGCCTTGCTGTGCCCAGGAGGCCGCCCGACTCACCATTTTCTCAGCTTCCTGTTTGTGCTTTGGAGAGTCTCCGAGAGTCTTCCCTCCACCTCATAGATCAATCAAGAAAGGTGGCCAAGATGCTTCTGCTACACCATAGGTTAACAGGCAAGTTTCAGAGGTGGGAAGGGGATTTGGAAAGCCCTGCCCTCATGAGAACCTTAGTCAACAGGCCTGGGTCAGCTGGGAAGGTGACCCCCCACCACCTAGGCATGGAGTTCCATAGCCATTTGCACAGGCAGGAATAACGGGGATGACTGCCCCCACCCCACTGAACTCTGGCCTCTAACCTTCAGCCCCAGCCCACTGTCCATTCCCTACAGGGAAGCTGGGACATGGTCAGTCATTGGTACAGCCCTGAGAGGCACTCCCAGCACCTGACAGTCCCCAGAGGCAACCCATCCTCACAGGCAGTGCCTCGGGCTCTTCTGGTTTCCTTCTGGCTTCCCTGCATCCCTTTAGCGCCATGGTCCCAGGAGTGGTCCATACTGACATGTAGCCACTTTGGTGTTCCGCTGGCCAACTCCTTCTCATGTGACATGTACATGAGTTCATGTCCTTGGGTAAACCTCTGTCCCTCTGGGCCAGACTGTTCCCTGCCATGGTATCATGGGCATAGCTATGTTATCTTCATAGAACTCTAAAAGGGGGGCTGGAGAGATGGCTCAGCAGTTGAGAGCACTGGCTGCTCCTCCAGAGGCTCTGGGTTCAATTCCCAACACCCACATGGCAGTTAGTAACCATCTCTAACTAGTTCCAGGGGATCTGACACCATCTTCTGACTTCTGCAGGCACTGCACGGCATAGGTACAAGGACTCATACACATAAAATAAAAATAATATATAATTTTTTAAAAGAACTCTGAAAGGGAAATTTCCTCATGCTAGTATCTCTGTTGCTAGGTGTGGAAACTGAGGCACAGAGAGGGCAAACAGAATATCAGGTTCACATGGCTCATCAGGAAGGAGCCAAGGTCAGGGTCTGAGCAGCTTGCATGTTCTGCAGGGCATTATAGCCACAGGGGCACTCTGCCGGGCCTGGACCTGGGCAGTGCCAGCTGGGAACCAGCCCAGCTAAGCGCACACGGCTTTCCGGAGGCCTCAGGGCACTGAGACCAACCTCTGTGTGGCCACTGCTACCATGGCCTTTGGGAGCACAAGCTTATCTCAAAAAGACAATTAAGCACCTACTCGGATCAATGGGGATGCACAGAGCGCTCCTCTCTAAGTGGGCAGACGATGATCTGATGGTGCTTTCTTTCCAAGGAAACTTAATGAACATCCCAGGAACATTAGTCTGTTCCAGCACAAAGCCCCCTCTTTCTCCCCGGCAAGGAGGCCTAAGGGAGACTTCCCACCAGAGGACAAAGATGTGGCCTGTGAGATGTACCTGTGGGTGCTGTGGGACAGGAATAATTCAGGGACGGGTCTGGTGGGTTAGCAAGAGCTGGATTGTGGAGTGGTGCCAAGAAAGGATAAAGGGTACAGGATTCCGGCTAGGGAAACTTACTCTGCATGTTACAGTGGCCGAGTTATAAGAAGTATGTGACTCTGCAATGGTGTTTGAAGTGCCAGTTAGCAGGAATGGGTGACAGGAGAGACACCTGAATGAGACAGGGCAAAGGCAGCACAGAGGTTGGCTTTGAACAGTGAATTAGGAGGAGCTGGTTTTATTGAATAAACTTCTTATTGGGTGTGGTTCCTGAAGGCAGATGTGCCAGTTTTCACGATGAGGGCACTGCGTAGGCAGGCCCATTAGCATTGTTCAATAGTCACATCAGGCTCAAATGTCACTGGATTCCCTATTTTTGTCTGAGGACCTCATGGCAGACACCATGTGACTAATCATGGCATCTCCTTGGCTCCTCTTGCTGGGGAGAGTTCTCAGGCTTCCCTTTCTTTGATGATGTAGTGGAGAGGAAGGCTGGCCTGGATGTGGTTAACCCGCAGGGGTCCCTCCAGAGGGGTGCAACTGGGCTGGTGTGTTTCCCATGGTTAGCCTATGGTGTTTGTAAGAAGATCATAGAGGAAGGTACTGTCATCAGGACATGGCCCTGGTGACGGTGCCTGGGCTAGCGGGTGACGTTTATTGGGGACATCCACTGTGGCGCTTGTTCCTTTGTCTTTTCCCGCACAGTACTCTTAGGGGTGGGGGAGCATCCTGCCTTCCGAGGGTGCAGCAGATGTAGTTACTGGAATTCAGCAGCAGAACTGGTCTCTTCTCTCCTGCTATTTACTTAATCATTTATATCACTGGAGGCTCATGAATATTTATTTTATACTTTGCATTATAATTCACACACTGTTTTGCTTAAAGCATTTGACTGTAGCTCTCAGGAACTTTCAGTTTGTCCTCAGGTCCCTTTGGTATACCCGTTATCCTTCCCTAATGGGTCTACCCTGCGTGTGGAGCCCTGGCCAAGAATGCAGAATGACACAAACCATGAGACATTGTGTGCCTGGCTCACCCAGCACCCATCCAATAACTGGTGCTCTGCCCCAGGCCCTGGACACACCCTGGCTCAGCCAGGCCTCCGCCCAGGACCCATATGCCCCTCCTTAAGGCACTTTTCC